AACAAAAAGCCATGATTCAGTAAATCTGGAAAGCTAAGAAACCTTACAGCCTTAAAGCATTTTTAAGTCCAAAATACACTGATCAAGGAACCCACTGTTTTATTACAATGGCATAAAGTGTGTTTCAGGTCTGTTGATACTGAGATGCTTGAATGTTTCTAGGAGAGTCTGGAAAGGAGATACAATGTAAAGAATGCATTGCACATGTGAAGCATGTGGTTTATGTTTAACAGATGCCGTCTTCAAGGACACTTCATTGAGACATGTCTGTCACTGATTGACCGCTGACACTCAGTAATTCAGTTCTAAATAATCTATTTTCTATTATTTAATCCTTTCCATATGCTTTTTAAGTTGTTTTAAACGGTATTGCGCTTTATTATTAATAAAATAAATATATTAAAATATATTTATGAAATTAATAACAATATAAAAATAAAATAAATAATATTTTATTATTATGTGAGACTCACACAAAAATTCAGAGCGTCTCATTGTCTGTCCTTCTCTAGATTTCAATAATCTCTTGATAATACCCTAAAAATGTGGGTCTTGTTTAAATAACCTAACAGTTAAGTCTCAAAAATTAGCAGAAGATTTCAGGCTGTCATTAAATAGTGGGTAACACTTTACTTGAAGGGGTGTGCATAAGACTGACATGACACCTTCATAATCATGACATGACACATGTCATGAATATGAAGGAGGTTTTATGCATGTTTATGACAACTGTCATTAAGTGTCATTCGCTCAGTTATGTCATTTTTAATGCAAATATGACATTATTTGACCTAACCCTACCCCTACCCTTACCCCTAACCATAGCCCATTACAAAGACATCTCAAACAATGTCATCTTTGCATTAAAAATTACATAACTGAGCGAATGACACTTAATGACAGTTGTCATAAACATGCATAAAAAACTTCATATTCATGAAATGAGTCATGTCATGATTATGTATGTGTCATGTCATGATTATGAAGGTGTCATGTCAGTCTTATGCACACCCCTTCAAGTAAAGTGTAACCAAATAGTGTTTCATTCATGTCCTGAAATTTTTTGGGGGGCAAAATGTTGTAATGAGATTCTGAAAGGACATCATTATATACATTATTGTGATGGTCTTTGTCAAACATCTGGGTTATGTGATATTAATGGAAAGTTTGGGGAGTCTTTGTCCATCCATTTATCTTGAACAATAGATAGAAAGGTAGAGAGATGGATGGACTTTCAAATTACTAGAGACTCATGGGAATTCAGATGGAGTTTCTCTCTGTAGTGTGTCGTAAACTAACAACCCTGCGGTCAGAAAATTAGTTTCAGACCAGACAGAAAGTGTGTGTGTGTGTGTGTGTGTGTGTGTTTAATGAGGAATGTGGCCAATGGGGTGTTCTGTTTTCTATCAGTAAACCCGCTGTCGTAATCTTTCCCAGCTTTAATCCTGGTCTAAAGAGAAGCCGAGTGTGTGTCTCATCGCTGGCTTACACTCCTCTGTTTAGCTTTCAGACTGACTGATGCTGTTGATATGAATGTGTATGTAGAGCAGACGGTCTGCCAGGATAAACCAGCACAGGTATTCTGCAGCCGTACAGTGCCACAAACAATCTGCGCACACATTTCAATGAGCGAAGTGACTGCATGAATAAATCAATAACAAACAAGTGAGAGCAGCTTTTATAACCAGGGGAGAGAAATAATGAGTCTTTGATTCTCCTCCCTCATGAAATTCTTTGCTGTAATTTTCCATTTATGGTCCGGTCACTATTTTCGGCATACTATTTTAATCATTATGACCCTTAGTAAATATTTTTAGTGGATCACATGGTAAACAGCTGTCTGTAGCTCTATAGACATAATGTTTGCATGCCATACATAAACTCATTCACTGAGACTCTTCAAAGAATGTTCACATGCAGCCGTGGAAAGTACAGTACATAGTGAATTTATGACACACTACATAAACCTTACACACACCTGGCACTCATTACATGCCATATAATAACACCGTACTCTATAACTGACCACAGTGTACCATTCATTTAAGCCAATCCAACAGAGATGCGTAAATGAATGTAACAGTGTCTCAGATTCATTAGAGGTGGAGATGAAGAACTGCAGTAAATAAAACGGCTGAATTTAACATTTGTGCCCAATAAAGGCTGTAAATAATTACAGTAGTTGATGTAAACAAATTCAAAGCAAGTGCATTGCATCCTAGATGATGCGTTTGACCCATCATGGACAAAACCAATGCACACACAATAAATTAATGAATGAAGTTTAGCATAATAAATGCATTTAAATCCATCAATAATCTAGGTGTAAACAGTGTAAAAATCAGGTAACCTAAAATATGCTTCATTTAGTAAAATCAAATGGCCACCTGGCTTTATTCAAATGTATTATTTAATATGACGGATTTATTATGCATTATGTTAGGTTACACACTCTACATACACACACACACACACACACACATATATATATAGAGAGAGAGAGAGAGAGAGAGAGCATCTACTACACCACCAAACTTTTTGATGCAAAACAGACAATATGATAGATGCATGTGGATAAATATTAAAACAATCATAACTCATAGCATCTTCAAGTTGAAAACAATGGTAAATACAGTGTGAAATGCACATACCCATGTTAACGCTTGCGGAGATCCAGTGGTGCGTGTTCAGTCAGTGACAGCCAAAGTGTGCGCGTCGCGATCTCTCAAACTCACGCGTCTTTATTGTCCGGAGCGTCGCGTCAGAGCGTCACGCCCACGCGCGCGTAAAGAGCTCACGGACATACAGAACATATTACTCACTCCTTCTTTGCATTTGCTTGATAGTATAATATTGTCTTATTACACTGAATATGACCTCACGTTTTTAAAAAATGTTATTTTGTATATTTAATCACAAAATATTTTTATTATTTATGCTAATTTGGGTGGATGTGTTTTGTCATGTCTCCAAAAAGTCCCTTTTAGGTGTGTCTTCAGTTTTTTCTGTCTGTAATTGGAATGTTTAGTGCATTGCATCCTAGATGATGCGTTTGACCCATCATGGACAAAACCAATGCACACACAATAAATTAATGAATGAAGTTTAGCATAATAAATGCATTTAAATCCATCAATAATCTAGGTGTAAACAGTGTAAAAATCAGGTAACCTAAAATATGCTTCATTTAGTAAAATCAAATGGCCACCTGGCTTTATTCAAATGTATTATTTAATATGACGGATTTATTATGCATTATGTTAGGTTACACACTCTACATACACACACACACACACACACACATATATATATAGAGAGAGAGAGAGAGAGAGAGAGCATCTACTACACCACCAAACTTTTTGATGCAAAACAGACAATATGATAGATGCATGTGGATAAATATTAAAACAATCATAACTCATAGCATCTTCAAGTTGAAAACAATGGTAAATACAGTGTGAAATGCACATACCCATGTTAACGCTTGCGGAGATCCAGTGGTGCGTGTTCAGTCAGTGACAGCCAAAGTGTGCGCGTCGCGATCTCTCAAACTCACGCGTCTTTATTGTCCGGAGCGTCGCGTCAGAGCGTCACGCCCACGCGCGCGTAAAGAGCTCACGGACATACAGTACATATCACTCACTCCTTCTTTCCATTTGCTTGATTGTATAATATTGTCTTATTACACTGAATATGACCTCACGTTTTAAAAAAATGTTATTTTGTAAATTTAATCACAAAATATTTTTATTATTTATGCTAATTTGGGTGGATGTGTTTTGTCATGTCTCCAAAAAGTCCCTTTTAGGTGTGTCTTCAGTTTTTTTCTGTCTGTAATTGGAATGTTTTCTTGAGAATGTTATTAATTGGTAATTATTTTATAGGCCTTTATATCATATTTCCTCACTTTCCGTCCTGTTATTTGTTGTTGTTGTTGTTGTTGTTAGCTAGTTAAAATCCCTTTAACTAACAAAATCCAGTCCTGTAATCATTCTGCAGGAAGTGACATCATTCTGGTAAATCAAACATCAGTAAATATTAAGAACTATGAAATCTTGAGATAAATCCAATGGCTAGACAGACAGACAGACAGACAGAGGAAACTGCTACACAGGTCAGTCCTAAAGCATTTCTGTTGTGGTTTCTACAGGATGTTTTGCAATGAAGTTATTCTGTTTTGCAATGTGTAGCCCAACTTTACTAGCATCCCTTTTCCAAAAATGACCTTAATTTTTATCTACGCTCTAAAAAATGGTGCTAAATAGCACTAAAGGTGGTTCATTGGCTCATACTCACAGGGAAACACCTACCTTTCAAGTGGTGCGATGTAGAACCATAAGAGGAACCTCATTCTCCTCCTTACATTTGTGGTATGTTATTCCACTCTCATATGTTTGCTATGAATGGGAATTTACTATAATGGCAAAAGCTATATTGAATCACTTTTATGCTTTTCTGAGGTCAAAAAGTCTTGTGTGGGGGCCCTGGAATATTTCCTTATAGGGGGCCTTGGGGGCAAAAAGGTTGAGAACCACGTTATCTTCAGGAAATACACTGTATTTTAAAGTCATTTTTGAATCCTTTTCTCAACTAAACTAAGAGACTAAGAAAGAGTTAGAGAACCTTTAAAGAACAATACAGGGGCTTAATGGGTTTTTTGTATGGCAGTGGTGCTATATAGCACCTGAAGAAGCACTGAAGAACCAGTTTTTACTGGTTAACATTTCCACATTCATTCAAAGTTTACAGAATAAGTTTGATTCTTTTAATAAATCAATTCATTTAAAATAATCCCACTGAGAATTAAATAATTTCTTGCAGACCAGAGACTTTATGGCAACTCTTCAGTTGTTTATTTTATCAAAGCAATTTTATTAAAAGATTACACCACCAGAAACAGAAATACAAGTAAAAAAACAAACAAATGATTTTGTAGGTTTTTAACATTTAAATGTTAGTTCCATGAGCCAATGTTACATACTCACACTGAAATAAATAAATAAAATAAACTTTATTTTTGAGTTTCACAGGATTGATAGGTATAAAAGGTAAAAAGGATGGGCCTGATAACATAAAAGCATGACGCTATTACAGTATAAACATACATGTTGGGCTATACTTCAGTTGACTTTCCTATGATGCTCGTCCCTTGAACCTGTAAAGATCAAAGAGAGTAAATTAAAATATAAATATGCAGAATATTCCAAATCTCAACACAACTGAAAAATAACTATAAAATAGCTTGAATGTGTCAAAAATGGTAATGCACAATGTAGAAATTTCATAAATGCCGTACTGTAGTGCACGAATGGTCCCTGGTTTGGCCTGGTGGGATAGTGGGTTTCATGCTGCATTCGTGGTTGTGGGCACACGCTTTTTTCACACCAATGATAGGCGCCTCAGATTGGGTGTGTTCACAGTCTCCACCAATCACAGACGAGCAGCTGTGACCAGAACTGCTAAAGCAACTAACACTTTCTCCTGAGGACACCGAACTCTCCACTGAAACACAGCACATTAAAACATCCTATTAGCAACATATATTGCATATACTGTATATATACCTCAATATATGCACCTGGGTGTTGAACTGCAGTGCATCTGTGAGAGGCTAAATAATAAGATGGTTTAAAAAAAGCTAATTATCAGAACTGATTATTCGATTTAGAAAAACATGACCTGATGAAACATTCAAAATAAGACCAGAAATATGTATTAAGAAATAAGTTACATTTTAAATTGCACTTTTATTGATCCCAAATTTTAAATTTAGTGTAGACAACATCCAAAATAGGATGCATTGTGAAGAAGGACATACCCAGTGTACTCTGGTTTCCGCTCTTCTGGTCTAAATCATCTTCCTCCAGGATCCCTGAGGTCCCGTGGACGTACCGGACAACATCTCCTCCACTAGGGCTGATCAGATGACCCACAGGAGACGTGGATCCCCACCCAGAGGAGGACGAATGGCTTCCAGAGGATGACGTATAGCTGGCCGAGCCGACAGAATTCAGCCGGAGGACAGGAATCCCACCTACGATATCATACAGAGTTAAAAAAAAAATAATACTATGCAAGTCAATGGAGACCAGAAACTGTTTGGTTACCAACATTCTTCAAAATATCTTCTTTTGTGTTCAACAGAAGACAGAAATTCGGTAAACACTTTAGGTTAGGGAACACATATTCACTATTAACTATTAAAGAGTTTTCCCTCAATAAACTCCAAATTACTGCTTATTAAGGTAGTTGTTGTAGTTGTTAAAAATAATATAATAATAATAAAAATAGTTGTTAAGTAGTTGTAGGTATAGGGTAGAGTTAAGGGATCTGGGCATTAATATGTGCTTTATAAGTACTAATATGCTATTAATTTGCATGCTAATAAGCAACTAGTTAATAGTGAATAGTGTTTCCATAATCTAAAGTGTTACCAGAAATTGGTACAAGTTTGGAACAACTTGAGGGTGAGTAAATGATGACAGATTTAAATTTTTGGGTGAACTATCCCTTTAAGCAATACAATAACCTGAATTGAAATAAAACCTACAGCAAGAAACTAGATTAGCTCTAAATGCTCCTGAATTTAATTCACACCATAATCATAATTCGTGTTTATCAAGACAAAAGCGACCTGAATATTACTGTGTGCTCACCTCTGTTGAGGACGGCTTGTTCCCACAGGATCCTCTCCAGGTCTCTGGTCCAGTTCTCCTTCACCTCTCGACTCGGTGCCTGAAGGACGTATGTGTCCTGAGACTTCCTCCTTCGAAACCAGATCTCAAAACATAGCCCGCTGTCACCGAAATTATGGGTCATACCGATGTCTGAAGTCTGCGAGAGCACAGAAAGCAAGAGTGAAAGGGAAAGCCGTCTCTATTTTGAGCTGTTCACTGATGCCTCATGCAGGGGTTTACCTTGAAGGATTGTTTGTAGATGTACGTGTCATTCCCAACGTCGGTTCTGCGTGTCTTGCTGAAGAGTATGAGATCCTGGAAGAGAAAGATGTGACGGTAGCATTTCTTCTTCCTGAAGGTCAACAGGAACTCGTCCTGACGGATCAGCTGGCCCTGTTCCTTCAGATTCACCTGCACACACATGAACAAAATAACATTAATGCATTTGGCAGATGCTTTTATATTAATCAACTGCTTTTGCATTCAAATTATTTTTTCAGTGTCTTTTATCAACAATCAAAATGTCATAAAGTTTGTAAAGAGAGACTTGCATTCACCTTCAAAAGCGTTTCTATCTATACTACTGATCAAAAGTTTGGAATAATTACTTTTTTTTGTTTTTTTACATTTTTAAAGGAAAAGGCTGCATTTATTTGATCAAAAATATAATAAAAACAGTAATATTGTGAAATATTATAACAGTTTAAAATACCTGTTTCTTATGTGAGTAAATATTAATATGTAATTTATTTCTGTGATGCGCAGCTGTATTTTCAGCATCATTCCTCCAGTCTTCAGTGTCACATGATCTTCAGAAATCAGTATAATATGCTGATCTGCTGCTCATGAAATATTTCTGATTATCATCAATGTTGAAAACAGTTGTGCTGCACAATATTTTTGTGGAAATGGTGACACACTACAATTCATAAGTTTGAGGTATAAGTAAGATTAAAAAAAAATACTTTATTAATTACTGACACACTGAAAAAAAAGATACACATTTAGCGGTAAGCGGTTGCAAACTATTTATTTTAGCTACATTTAAATAAAAAAAAATGTTGAAAGTTAGTCAACTAAATTTGTTTATTTAAATGTAGCTAAAATAAATTGATTGCAATCACTTACCTTAAAAAAAATAGTAAATTCAATGAATATTTTTTTTCAGTGCACATTAAATTGATCAAAAGTGACAGTAAAGACATTTATAATGAAGATTTTTATTTCAAACAAATGCTGTTCTTTTGAATTTTCTATTCATCAAAGAATCCTGAAAAATCTCAGTTTATACAAACATATTGTGCAGCACAACTGTTTTCAACATTGATAATAATCAGAAATGTTTCTCGAGCAGCAAATCAGCATATTAGAATGATTTCTCAAGGTAGCTAAAATAAATTGATTGCAACCACTTACCTTAAAAAAAATAGTAAATTCAATGAATATTTTTTTTCAGTGCACATTAAATTGATCAAAAGTGACAGTAAAGACATTTATAATGAAGATTTTTATTTCAAACAAATGCTGTTCTTTTGAATTTTCTATTCATCAAAGAATCCTGAAAAATCTCAGTTTTAACAAACATATTGTGCAGCACAACTGTTTTCAACATTGATAATAATCAGAAATGTTTCTCGAGCAGCAGATCAGCATATTATACTGATTTCTGAAGATCATGTGACACTGAAGACTGGAGTCAAATTCAGCTTTGATCATAGCAATAAAATACATTTGAACATATATTCAAATACAAAAACTGTTATTTTAAATTGTAATGATATTTTACAACAATACTGTTTTACTATATTTTTTGTTCAAATAAATGCAGCCTGGTTAAGCAGAAGAGACTTCATTCAAGAACGCTAAAAAATTGTATCTTTTCCAAACTTTTGACTTGTAGAGTATAACATTTTCTTAATATGCACAGTACTTTAAACACATCCATCGTAAGCTCTCATGTTGGGTTTTCAAGTGGAGAGTGATGTGCAGACAGAAAAGTGAAGCGTAGGGAGCTGCTTGGAAAAGTTACCTGAGACACAAATCATTTTCACCGAGAGGAGAGGACAGAACCGAGAGTGATCCTGAAGAACCGCAGCAAGATCATGTGACACTGAAGACTGGAGTCAAATTCAGCTTTGATCATAGCAATAAAATACATTTGAACATATATTCAAATACAAAAACTGTTATTTTAAATTGTAATGATATTTTACAACAATACTGTTTTTACTATATTTTTTGTTCAAATAAATGCAGCCTGGTTAAGCAGAAGAGACTTCATTCAAGAACGCTAAAAAATCGTATCTTTTCCAAACTTTTGACTTGTAGAGTATAACATTTTCTTAATATGCACAGTACTTTAAACACATCCATCGTAAGCTCTCATGTTGGGTTTTCAAGTGGAGAGTGATGTGCAGACAGAAAAGTGAAGCGTAGGGAGCTGCTTGGAAAAGTTACCTGAGACACAAATCATTTTCACCGAGAGGAGAGGACAGAACCGAGAGTGATCCTGAAGAACCGCAGTGAATGTGTCATAGACAAGATGAAGAGCATGTCTAAACCTAAGGTAACATTAGAGTACAGTAACTCCACTGTCTCAGCACACAGGTGGAGGGAGTGTACGAGTTAGTTCACTGTTCTTTTTTAAAGCTTGTTGTCTGAAAATAAATGCATGAAATATGAAGGTATTTATCTTTCTAATTACAGACGGTATGTGAAGTGGGCAAAACTCACCTCCATCTCACGCCTGACCATCCTGTTCTATAAAAATATCTCTATTTCAGTCTGCATTTAGTTTGCAGACAAATATGTTTTGCAAAACAACACATATCATAGATTTATAAGCAAGCAGGTAAACAGTACAGACTTTAAGAAATTATGGTGATGATTGCCTGTGCAAGTTGATAGGTGCAGCTATGGTATTTCTAAGGTGTTTTTAGTGGATTTTAGTGTTTAGTGTTTTTGTTTTACTGGCCAAAAGGATCGACCCTTAAATCTGTGTGACTTTCTGTTCTCTAGATATGACTCAGGTCCCTCCTTCAATGTAAGTTCAATGTATTTCATGATCATTCACGAGGTAAAAATCACGAGTCTGTTCTGTAGCAGCTCCGCTTCTCAGCATTTTACACACTGAAGTTTAATACATCATCTCAAATCACGAACCCTCAGTATGTGCAATAATGACGCTTGCCATGAAATGCTTTTCTAAATTACAGGGTTGAAGAAGAAATGTGCCTAGTTCTGTAAACTAAAATGGAATTGGGGTTTTCTGAGATGTTGTAATCTCATCTCTCTATCACTCCAGTGTCATTTTAGTATTATGAATATACTATTATAGTATTTATTAATATTGTAATTTTTTTTGTTACATTTTTATATGTATTTTCAGATTTCATTTGAATTTGAGTTTGTTTTAGTAATTTTATCCTTTTTACTATTATTTTTAATTATCTTTATTTAACTATCATTTATGAAGCTCAATTTATTTTATTAATAAATTAGTATTTTTAAGTATTTTTAAACTAGTTTAATATTTTAAAATTAGTAACTTAAAAATGAGTAATTTTAGTACTTCAACATATTTATTTTAGTTGGTTGCCAAGGCAACGTTTCAAGTATTTAAGTTGAATTAAGTTTAATATTGTTTTATCCAGTATTTATATTTTAATTGATTTCACCTTAAATTTAACTTAGTTCATAGATTATATTACTAGAATTACCAAAAACAATAGTTTGGATATACTAAAAATAGTAATTTAGATTATTTTACTAGAATTATTAAACTCATTTAGAAGAAAAGCATCAGAGGTATTACACTAAAAAAAAAAAAACTATAAACTGATTCTTCAGGAATGTAAAAAATAATAGTCTCATGAATAATAGTCCAAAGAGGAAATTTTATGTATCATCTTGTTTGTTTCTTAAATGCATGAGTTAGATTTAAAAAACACATTCAGTCGTTAAAAGTATTTTTAAAAAGTTTAGAATTTTTAAATTAATAATTTTAGAACTTCAAAATTTTTTATTACTTAGTTGCCAAAGAAACATTTTCTTTTTTTAATTTTTTTTTATCTAATATTTATATTTTACTTTATTTCAGCTTTATTTTTTTAGTTTTATAGTTTTATTTAGCGATGAGGCTCACATCACAGTCCTGAAGGTCGTCCATGGCGAGCAGGTTGTTGCCGTGGCGGAGCTGGAACTGGATGATGTTCAGCGCGGTCTGTATCTCGAGCCGCTCGTGTCCCGCGTGCGCTCCGGTCTCACACTCACGCAGCATGTCCTGCAGCAGCAGCCCGTATTTACTGATGCGCTGCACCGGCTTCAGCAGATACGAGGACAGATCCATCTTATCACCCAGCAGCTGCTGCTTCTGCTGCAATTCACATGATTGAACTAAAATGACTAAACAAGCACGGCATCAGAAGTAAAGCAATCTAAACTGATTCATTAGATGCTGAATGTAAAGATTAAACTCATCAATAATTGTCTAAATAGGACATTTTATGCACCATCTTGTTTGTTTATTAATAACATGGTCAACAAGATTTTTATAGAAATATATCATAAATGCTGTTATGACTTTTTTGCAAGAGCAACACTGAATATTTGATTTATGTGTGTCCCGTCTGAAAAAGCGCCCACGGTTTATGACAGAGCTGATTTATTCTGACAGGTATTTATATGCAAATCATCATGCCACTCATTTCAAGAAGATGAGAACTTCTGCCGAATGAAAGATTTATCCTGAGCGCATGGATTTCCAAGAGAATGAACTCTCCAGAAGTCTTCCATAATCTTCCATAATCCAAAAACTATTTCATAATCTTCTTTTCTGAGGGGAACTTTTGTCCCTATTATTTCGCAAGCTTTAACAGAAAGGAGCTGGATAGAGATCATTTATGTATGTAATACTTTACACACACATGTACAAATGCTTTGGTTGAGGGTCAAAGTATATTGAGTTCATAGATTGATTTCATTGTATTTGTAAAAAATGAGATGCTATGAATGGGATTTCATACATTTGTCATTAAAAATGGCTTTCTCTGGCAAAGTTTCTCTATGATTTACTGATAAATGAATTTTAGTCACTTTTGTTCTTTTTATTGTTGTAAAAATATTTATGTTTGGCTTTAATTCATAAAGCTAAATTCATTTTAGCTTTAGTAATTTTAGTACTTTAAGGCAACATTAATATTTTTTGTTTTTTAAGTTTATCTAATATTTATTTATATATGTTGTATATATTATTTTTAATTCATTATTTTATTTTATATGTCTAAAGTTGTACCACATAAATCTGTTCATACATTCAAATTCTACTGAATACTAATGAAATTACCTTAAAATATGACATTTGGATGACTGATGGAGGAAAATCTCACCTTAAAGAACTCTCTCCCGTGATCGATGAGCAGTCTCTCAGAGCGAGGCTTGTTCTTGCTGTATAATGCGTACAGGCCAAAGTTTTCTTTCTGAATTTGAGAGACATGATGTTAGAATCACTGGTGCAAACAAGTGGGCTTTTTTTTTTTTTTTGCATGATGTGCATTTGTTTCTCTCTGTGAAGGTATTTAAAGTACATCTTACTACATGAGTGTGACACAGTCATCAAAACAAGACATATATATATATATATAAAAAGATATATATATATATATATATATATATATATATATATATATATATATAATTTAATTTATTTATTTTATTTAATTTATTTATTTTTTTCTCCTCACATTTTTACATTTATATGTTTATTTCTAAGCAATATTCATTATTCCCAATGCTGGATGCAGTTTTTATTATTTATTTAAAGTATTACGTAATACATTTACATATTTAAATTATGTGTAAATACATAGCAATTTAAATAATACATCTTTTTTCTTTTTTTTTCTCTAATACGCATCATTCCCAATAGTAGATACTGTTGTTTTTTATTTATAGCAGCACAAATATAAAAAACACACTACAATGTCATATAAGTACCTTGCAATTTAAATATATACAATAATAAATATATATTTTTTGCATTACAGTTATGAAAATTAGATTTTTGGCATTCATTTTGCAAAAATGTTTTTAAATGTCATGAAAATAATGCAGTGCAAACAAATAGTAATGTTCCTAAAATTATGATATCCTAAAAATGACAAATATCTAGGCTTAATTTTCGTTATGCCTTATTCATGTCTTATAATTGTGGGGTGAAATGTGACCTGCTTTTGCTTTTGAGTTGCATGGTTCTTTCATTATAAGTGTATGCATTTTCTAAGATCTGTAAAGCTGCATTAATGGGTTTCTATAAAATAAAAAGTTCTTTGTGGCGCTTTAAGTGGCTTTCTCTGGTATCAGGCTGTAAAACTCTGGAAACTGTGAGTGTGTCCTGCTCGGAGTGCTCACGTGTTTCAGGAAGCAGCGTCCGACGCAGAAGGGCTCCTTCAGACACAGCTCCAGCTCCTGAAGGAAGTGATGCTGGTGAAAGTCTCGCAGCTTCTCCAGGTTCCCAAAGATGCTTCCTCTCTGTCCCCGCAGGTCCTGAGGCACGTCGGGACGCTCCAGCTCCGGCATGTAGTTCTCCACCACGTACCCCAGCGCTCTCACATACTCTCTCTCCGTCTGAAGCAGCTCCTCCATGATGCACTGGAGTTTACTGTCAGGAGACCAACAAAAACATAATGCATCCCGCAACGATTATGAACAATTACTAAGGCATAGCAGACAAACAGATCAATGGTAAACATTTCACATTTTACTGGCAGGGCACATTTGTATAATTCAGTTTAAGACATGTTACTTTCCTGCCCTCAAATATGACTTAACATAAAGGAATCATCACATTTACCCAGAAGCATATGTCTAATATACTAAACTTTCAGCCAATTTTCATTTTTGGGTGAAATATTCCTTTAATGTATGAACTAATGTTAACAAATGAGACCCTATTATAAAGTGTTACAAATAAATGACAAACTCATGGTTACTGAATGGGACTATGCACTTTGAGAGTTTAAAAGCACAAATATGAAGCTTGTATTTTTGTTAAAGCACTAACATGAATTATTCATTCTTTTTGGATCTAGTTAATACACAGTATCTAGTTAAGCATAGTAGATCATGCCACAGTTACCATATTTCCCATCTTTACATGGTCATCATGGTTGGATATATAACATAATTTTAAGTTCTACTTATATACGTTTGGTTTAAATGGTGCAATTTAACATTTAGTGCCTATTTTCATTATACTGGATGTGCCTTACCACTATGTTTTGTAACTTAGAGCCACTCTGTGGTTATTTGTGCTACAAATGCGGTCGCACCACAACATTTCTTCATAAGCTGCTTACAACAGCATATCTATCTACCAGCAAGAGCAGCATTAAACCAGCCTGAAATTTTAGTGTTGGTCTTTTCAGACTTTTCTCAAAACATTCTCTTCCAACAGTTGAGAAATTATGATCACTTTATTTAGCACGGTGATGTTATGTTTCTCTATGAAGGTTGAGACTGTCTGCCCGTTGTACACTGGCTGATTATTCCCTGCGGCCCAATGTTTGTCTTGTGTTATTTTCAGCGCTGAAGCACTTTCTGTGGGCTGCGCTTATTATCTGTCATTACGGGATGTAATGCATACTGTGCTGAGCGAGTCTTCTGCTTCTCTCAACCGAAGAACATGTTCGAGATGTTGCAGTGACTGGTTAGATTTGATCACTAGCGTGTGAACGGCCTCTTCCACCTGGTTATACAGACACGTCACAGACTCCAGAGAATCCCTGCAGGAGACAGAAAAGACACATAGAAGTGTTATGTGCTCTCAGCACCTGCACAAAACATGCAAATATACTGTAAAATGAATATGTTTTGTAGTTTTTAATTCATTTATTGTAAATATTGAATACTACAGGCTAGTGAAAATCTACCATTTCTCTACATACTAGTCATACTTTTCCAGTTTGTGTTTCATATTATATATGGGTTCTCCAGTGGAGCTCACTGTATGTCTAAAGGTTCTTGCTGTTGGGAAAATAGGATTAACTGGGACCCAGCAGCTGTCCAAATATCATGGGCGCAGCTGAGCTCTAATCATGATCAAACGTGACCAAACCGAGCCTGCTGTGATTCAAACATACTGAGAGAAATACCTGAAGTCTTCAGACTGAGCAAATCGACACTCTTCCTTCCTCATCCTGGCGAGAATAGACCCGCCTTCTCTTTGGAGGGCGACCAATCGTGTGTCTTCAAGCACCATCTTCATGGAACTCCTCTGCTCCTGGATGCAGGACTGGACATCCTGAACAATTGCCAATTGATTTAGTTAGTTTGGGAGCAGAATTCCTCAGCATCGTCAAATTAAATAAATGTGACCCTGGACCACAAAACCAGTCATAAGGGTCAATTTTTCGAAATTGAGATTTATACGTAATCCGAAAGCTGAATAAATAAGCTTTCCATTGATGTATGGTTTGTTAGGATAGGACAATATTTGGTTGAGTTACAATTATTTGAAAATCTGGAATCTGAGAGTGCAAAAAAAGTGAGAAAATCTGAGAAAATCACCTTTAAAGTTATCCAAATGAAGTTCTTAGCAATGCATATTATAAGTTTTGATATATTTACAGCAGGAAAATTACAAAATATCTTCACGGAACATGATCTTTACTTAATATCCTAATGATTTTTGGCATAAAAGAAAAATAAATCATTTTGACCCACACAATGTTTTTTTGGCTATTGCTACAAATCTACCCCAGCGACTTAAGATCGGTTTTCGTTGTACACTGGCTGATTATTCCCTGCGGCACAATGTTTGTCTTGTGTTATTTTCAGCGCTGAAGCACTTTCTGTGGGCTGCGCTTATTATCTGTCATGACGGGATGTAATGCATACTGTGCTGAGCGAGTCTTCTGCTTCTCTCAACCGAAGAACATGTTCGAGATGTTGCAGTGACTGGTTAGATTTGATCACTAGCGTGTGAACGGCCTCTTCCACCTGGTTATACAGACACGTCACAGACTCCAGAGAATCCCTGCAGGAGACAGAAGAGACACACAGAAGTGTTATGTGCTCTCAGCACCTGCACAAAACATGCAAATATACTGTAAATTGAATATGTTTTGTAGTTTTTAATTCATTTATTGTAAATATTGAATACTACAGGCTAGTGAAAATCTACCATTTCTCTACATACTAGTCATACTTTTCCAGTTTGTGTTTCATATTATATATGGGTTCTCCAGTGGAGCTCACTGTATGTCTAAAGGATCTTGCTGTTGGGAAAATAGGATTAACTGGGACCCAGCAGCTGTCCAAATATCATGGGCGCAGCTGAGCTCTAATCATGATCAAACGTGACCAAACCGAGCCTGCTGTGATTCAAACATACTGAGAGAAATACCTGAAGTCTTCAGACTGAGCAAATCGACACTCTTCCTTCCTCATCCTGGCGAGAATAGACCCGCCTTCTCTTTGGAGGGCGACCAATCGTGTGTCTTCAAGCACCATCTTCATGGAACTCCTCTGCTCCTGGATGCAGGACTGGACATCCTGAACAATTGCCAATTGATTTAGTTAGTTTGGGAGCAGAATTCCTCAGCATGGTCAAATTAAATAAATGTGACCCTGGACCACAAAACCAGTCATAAGGGTCAATTTTTCGAAATTGAGATTTATACGTAATCCGAAAGCTGAATAAATAAGCTTTCCATTGATGTATGGTTTGTTAGGATAGGACAATATTTGGTTGAGTTACAATTATTTGAAAATCTGGAATCTGAGAGTGCAAAAAAAGTGAGAAAATCTGAGAAAATCACCTTTAAAGTTATCCAAATGAAGTTCTTAGCAATGCATATTATAAGTTTTGATATATTTACAGCAGGAAAATTACAAAATATCTTCACGGAACATGATCTTTACTTAATATCCTAATGATTTTTGGCATAAAAGAAAAATAAATCATTTTGACCCATACAATGTATTGTTGGCTATTGCTACAAATATCCCCCAGCGACTTAACACTGCTTTTGTGCTGCAGGGTCACAAAAGAGCTTTTTTTTTAAATTTTGCATTTGTTTAAAATGAAGTTTTCAATTTGTGCAATTTCTAAATAATACTTTTTTATTATAATTATATAATTAATTTTATTATAAATATTTTATTATTATTATTATTATGAGCAGAAATTGAGTGAAAATGTGAGAAATCTTTTTTTGGTACTACCTGCATTTATGTTCATTTTATGTTACATAAACCGGTAATCATTTATTGAACATATCTGGTTGTTTCACACTACAAAAACAATGTCAATGTGCCTTTAAATAGGGATAATATAACTGTACTATAACAATTTATTTTAGAGATTTTTTTATTTACTGATATTGGTATTGATATTTATTGATATTGATAATTTATTGATATTGATATTTCATTTTGCATGTTAATTTCACCTATTTTCCACATTTACAGTCAGCTAACACTCACTTAAAGATCATTTAAAAAAAACACTAATAACTTAACACTGTTAAACATAATCTTAAAATGAATGTTCCTTTTTCATACCGTGCATTATTACATTCGATTCTTATAGTCATTTGTAGCAATTAAAATGATTGATTGCAGTGTTTGATTTAGATAAAATTGCATCGAATTTTAATATCAGACATTTCTCCGTTTTCTGACATAATATGAAAATAGTTACTGGCTTATTGTATCGGTTCAAATTTAAATACCAGTGCATCTCTAGCTGCTATGTTAAAAAATGTGATACGAATGTGTACTGTATTCCTGGAAATGTTCAGAAATTAGCATGCAGAATCCAAAGTTACCTTTGCTGTATCCGTTTTTTTAACATCAAGTCTCCTGATTGCTGTCTGCAGTAATGATGCTGCTGCTTGTAGGTCGAGTTGAAAGAGAGAAAGCTTCTGAAAGACACGTGCAAAACACATGTTAGATAATCATCTACATATTGTGAAAGAAGGGCATCTGCTGATTATTCAGCTATTTGCTCGACAAAACATTTACAAGCACAAACCTAAAGCATGTGACCAGCAGAAGACATCTGAAGGTAGCTGCTAGTCATCAAGATGAAATTTTGTTTATAATCAATTCACATAAGATTAGGAAAAGTCAGGTTGTTACACATGTAAGTTAAAGAGCCGTTGGGCTCTCAGGCCTCAAATAGACAAAACAGAAATAGACATGTCAGAAATGTTGTGATCCACTTCACTAGAGCTGTTTGTGCAGGTTGACTTGCATCCATTTACAAATGTTTCAACAGTTGCTGACCGAACTGATTACACAATAACATGTTCTTACTACAGAAACAAATACAGATGTTTAGTGAGTAAGTGGTATGACAACATCACTGACTGCAAATGTGCTGTTATTTGTTGCATCATTTATATTGCGGGCCTTTGCCACATTACTTATAGTAGAGCGAGAGAGAGAGAGAGAGAGAGAGAGAGAGAGAGAGAGA